CTCTGCTGTGAAGAAAAAAGGGATTTCCCCCCCCCCCCACTTCTTTTGATGACTTTTCCTTCTGCTGCTTTATGGTCATCTTTTCGCTTTCCTTTCCATTGTAATTTGTGCTCTTGAGTTACTGCTACTTCTCTTGTCTGCTGAAAGCTCCTGCAGTTGCTCATGGAGGTGTTAGAAGCATTTTTGCAGATTGTTTTGGTACTGAGACGCCCATAGGTACTAAAACTATTCCTTCATGCTGATATTGTCTGGTTAATAAATCAACTGCATTTGTTGTTGTCCCTTCAACACTCATTTATGATACAGTGATGCTACTGGAGTACTAGATAAACACTGGCAGCTCTTCCTCTTTTTAAATGTTTTCTTCAATTGCATCTCTTTTATTCTAGCAGTTCATTTGCTTTCCTGTTCAGTCAATAAGACAGTTATTTATACAGCATTATTAAAAACAAGGATTTACAAAGCGCACTGACAGAAAAAGCAGGATAGCCAGAAGCCACTTTGAGCTCCAAGGAGGAGCACTCACCTGCCAGTGGTCACAAGAACATGTGGACCTGATGTTGACAGCCTGATGTCATGTGACATCCTGACTCATGACAGTTACTGCCCACACATGTAGCGTACATGTGACACACTCAGTGCACACGCCCCACGTACAGTCTTTTGATCAACTCTCATATTCGCGTTTTCAATTTTATGCTCTTGTACCGACACTGTAAAAAAAAAAAAAAATCCTTGAAAAAATGGATAAACTGTTCATAAGCTGTAAAAATGGTTAAAATATGGCAAAAATATCAAAAATAATATTTTTTGGCTTATTTAAACGTAGTAAAACTATTGTATTTGTACAGTCATGCATTTTAAAAGATCAGATTGCTATTTGTAAAAATACAATTTTTTTTAAAGATGTAAACAATGTTGGCTTTTTGTAGAACCAGATATTTGTCATTTGGCAACACAATGACTATCTGTAAAATACATGTTATTCATTAAAAAATTTTAAAAAGGAGATTTTTTTTTTCACAGTGTACTTGTGGACAAAGTTTAAGTGAGCAAAGGTAGCATCAAACAGCTGAAACGATGGTAGATGATGATGGTGACAAGTCATCGCTTCTTACCGCTGTACTAAAGTGAAACCTAAATGTGGCGGAAATGGGTGCTACCATCTTGCCAGCTTTTATTTACTAAAGAGCCTGCAGCTTTTTTTTTAGAACATCAGTTGTTACAGTTCACTGCAGAACAACTCAATCAATGGTTGAAGCAAAGACGATAAATTACATGATTAATCCTCTGAATGACAAAAGCTGCTGATACCATACATTAGCTAGAAATTGTAAACACAGAGAGAATCATTGGATTTTTGAACTTTATGATGATTCTTCAACTATTCATCTCTGACGTGCAGTTCTGTTACAAAATCTAAGCTCCAAACTGTGATATTTCATCAAAATCACTTTATTCTGCATGTCTAATTTAAAAATTCGTCATTACCTGAACTGGGCTGAACTGCAGGCTGTGTTTACACAGAGCAGAGAGGAGACAAGTGAGAAAAAAAAAAACTATGAAAAAAGGCAGCAGAAAAATATGTATTCTTACCAATTGTGGGCTCATGAAAACTATATTTTGAATTGGTTTCCATATTTGTCTGTGTAAACACTGCCTGCAGTTCAGCTGAAATGTCCATTAATTTTTTGTTACATGATTCTTGTTCACTGCTGACTCAGTCGTGACTTCATAGTCAGGATAAGGAATGCAGTTGTTTTTTTTTTCTTTTTTACAGAATCTTTTTTGATCAAACACTTTAATTTTGCTGATTTTGAGAATGGGACATGTAGAAGAAGTTGTTTTGATGAATTATCTCAATTTTAAGTTTTCCAATGGCACGCCATGACAGAGATGGTTAGTTTGAAGACCGCTGGAAAGCTGAAAATCCAGCAATACCTTCTGTTTTTACAGTTTCTGGCTCTGAATAACAGTGTGATTTTGTGATTATTTTAAAGATATCATGCCTTTCATGCCCACCAATTTAGAGGGTTCACAACATTTCCATTTCCTCTACAAATTGACCAACAACAGTCCATACAGGGATGCCATTGTTGTTTTTGTTTGGCTATTTTTTTGACGGTGTTCATGTTTTTTCCTCCATCAGAAAAAAACCCCAGAATGTCCCACTTTTACTTAAACCTGGAAAAATTCAAATCAACCCTTTCATTTGCTGCATGACACTGTTAATGGCACTTTGTTTAAAGGAAGAGTTTTGTAATACCTACGCAGAAATTCAAAAGAAACTGGAAAAAAAGATGAGGAAGATTCTGTAGATGATTACGATGATGATAACAAAAAGATTACGAGGGACGTGAACATAATTGTCTCTGCTCTTCTCCTCCATCCATTTTTTCCCGTCCATCGACTGCTGTTTTCCTGCTGTAATCTCTCATGTCTTTAATCCCTTTAAATATAAGTTTTCAGCCTCATCAGTGCTCTCCCCTCAGCCTCCTTTTTACTCATCCCTCCCTGCCGCCCTGTCGTCCCAGCTCAGTAAAAATATGCTCTTTTATGACTATTTTATCAGGCTTTATTATTCAACGCGCAATTTATTCAGTATGCGCTTTTGGCGGTGTAATTCTTCGGAATAATATTACCAAAAGATCAGAGCGAAAAACAATCACTCTAGTTCTGTCCATAGAAGTGCTTCGGTTAAATTAGGTTCCTGTTTAATTTCCTTTTTATTTTTTTTTTCTGCTGATGGTTTATTGATGCTTTAAGTCCATATCTATCTTTCCATCGGACTCCCTCCCTCTCTGTGCGGTCAGAGTGCAGGGTCACTCAGCTTCACTTTATTTATAGATGCCTTTTAATGATTGCAGCTAAGTGCTTAGCAGAAAACTAAGGACACATGTGGCACAAACCTCAGCTGTTTGTTTGTTGTTGCTTGTCGCACATGACTGTAATGCAATGTAGTGTTTGAGTTCAGCTTTTTGGAGCCTCACAGATCTGGATCACACCTGAAACGATCCCAGGACCATGTGTTCGTCACATATTANAGTTCGACACCCCTGTCCTAAACATTCACATGACTATGCACCATGAATTCGTCATCCAGAGTTGGACTGTCAAGGAAGAGTAGCCCTGTAACATTCTGAGGTGTGTAAGGGAGAACTTCAGAGCAAAATACCTGAATGTGGTGCGACAAGAACAGTTGTCGCCATCCACCTGACCTGCCCACCAGATTTGTCTCCTGGTGACATCTTCGTCTTCCCCAAAATGGAATTTAAGAAGGTTACTGTTTTGACACAGTTTTGGAGAGTCGGTGCTTATCACCGATGGTGCTTCACCTAACAGGACTTCCAGGGAATGTTCCGAGTGTCGCAGAAGCACTTGGAGCACTATATCACAAGGAGACTACTTTGACAGGGATGGGTGCCAAAATTTATTCAGGTATGGTCTTGTAATGTTCTGATCAACCTTTCTAGTTGTATGTCCCAATATATAATATGTCAAATGCAGTATGCCAAAATACCAGGATGTCTTATTACATTTCGTCTCATTTTAACGTTTGCAAGCCAACATGCTTTTTTGATCATTCCAACTTACAATCTTTTGTAGCAAAAGGATACGTCACAATGTCTTGCTAATGGCGAGCTTGAGTCGCCGCACAGACAGATGATTTCACACTGCAGACTGAGACAGATGTCTGAACAAGACGGCCAGAGCTAAAGGTGTCATATTATGATCAAGTAGTCACAACTGTATGATACTACATGAAACAGCACATAGGCACGTAAGGACAGCTGCAGTACGTACTGAGAGGAAATCCAACAAAATTTAACTGACAGTAATTCAAAATAAAATAAAGCAGCAGAAGTTCACAAATTCACAGTCTGATGCAAGTTGTTTTGACATTTATTAGCTGAGTTTTACTATCCGGAATTAAAATGACCGATGTCTGGTACAACAACATTGTGACGAGTCAGAATTTTAATTCCAGTTATCTATAATATCATGACGGGTCAGAATTTAACTCTAGATATCTGAAATTAAAATTACCTAAGAATTTTCCCATATTTTTTGAAATGCATGAAAATACCAATAAAATTACAAAAACTGATGATTATTTAGTTATTTAAAAAAAAAAAAAAACTACAAATGTATTATAATTTAACCAATATTTCAATTAATTTCATAGATGAAAGTGTGAATGTATTTCTTGAATTAGATACAATTAGTGAAAACAGAAAAAGTGTATTGATTCTGTAATTTTATGGAGATATATAATTAGTAGAGCTTTCACTACAAAAATGTTGAAATTGTTAATATCTATTAGCATAGGTAATCTGTCAAAAATGCAATATTTGTATAAATATTTAGCTATGTATTGTTAATATATATTATAGATAATTTCAATGTTTTTTTTTTACATATGTAAATATCTGTGATTAAACATTTAAAATCAAAAATAAATAAAGTAAGCTAAGAAAAAAAAGCATATAAACTATGGGAAATTGCTGTATTATTATTATTTTTTTTTACGAGATCGTTAATTTCCACTATTTAAATATACTTTTGAAAAAAGCAAAATATTACCATTTTATAGTTTTTAAAGAACTCTTTTTTTCCAGTTGCAGACATGAACACAGTAAAGTAAAGATATCTGTAAGGAGAAATTAATTTATCATTTGTCCTGGAGGAATGACAACACGGATGTCTAAAATGTTGTTGTGAAATGTTTACATGTCAACCATATAACTACAACTAGCCAATATGATGTTTGTAAAAACATCAGCCTCATATAAACTGACTGAAACTCATATTTCCCAGATTTTCTGCGTGTCTTGAACGCAGAGCAGAGCCAGTGAGGATGGAGGGGGCGCGGCCGTGGAGAATATGGGCGTGGCTTCTGTATGCAAACGATCCACGCCCCCAAGCGCCTTTCCCCCGTGAGCGGTGACGTCACACGAGCGGCCCGTGTTGGTTCCAGCTGACTGAGAGAGAGAGAGAGGGAGAGAGAGGGAGAGAGAGGGAGGAAAATAAGAGCCATCATCATCTATCTGACTCTCATACTACTGGATATTATTATTTTTTCAGTGGCATCTCTTTATTTCCTTCATCTTCTATTTTTTTCCCGCGCACATTTAACCTCAACTTGCTTTTGGTGATTTTTGTCTTTTTTTTTTTGTATTATTATTACAATTATTTTTTCTCCCCTCCTCAGTCTTGGAGACTTCTCCCTCCGCCGCCACTCGACTCTGTTCTGCTGCTTCTAATCCTCTTTCTCCACTCACTGCATGGGACCACAGGACGGCCGCCTTCGGTTCTGATTTCACCCCGACTGTCGCTGCTGCTGCTCCCTCCGGGGCTACAACAACTCGCGACCAAAACCGCCAACCGAACGCCGGACCGGAGCGGACCGGAGCCGGCCGTGAGCCAACCGAGACAGGAGGGAGGAGGGGGGAGACACTCAATTGAATTCCTGTGTTGAGTTTTGAGAAGGTGACAGCAGCAACTCCTTAAAAGCTCAGCCGGTCTGAGAGGATGAAATAGATTCTGTCAACATGGTGCCATTTTGGAGATAAATCCATCATTTTTTTTATTATTATTTTTTTAAAATTTCTTCGTACGTTGTTGTTTTCTCTCCTTGATGGGACGCGCGGAGCTGCGAGACGTCAGGTGGAGGTCTTGAGCGTCACCTGTCCCTGCGCACCTCTTGACGGCGCGCCTCCTAATTAGCGTCGCTTAAGTGGATTATTGTGATCTCGGACTCGCGCGCTCTTCTTTGCAGGTTTGCCATCTCTCCTCCCCTCCCGCGCCTCCCCTCACCTCCTCTCCCCCTCCTCCTCCTCCTCACCCTCACCCTCCTCCCTGGAAGTTATGTCAAGGCCTCTCGCGCAGCTCCTGCCGCCGGATCTCCCTGCCGGGGCCACCAGCCCCCAATTCGGGGCCAGCAACCCGGCTGGAACTGGCCCCCAAGGCGGACACCTGACCTCCATGACCAACCTGAAGTCCCTGCTCCAGCTGCCCATCAAGGCCGACCAGAGAGGGACCAAGGACTGCTGCGAGATGAAAGGTGAGCTCGTGCGTGTGCGCGTGCGTGTGTGAGAAAAAGAGGGGGGGGCATCAAACTTCTTTAAAGGGGAAACACCTCAGCCAACAAGTCGCTGCAGGAATATCATGCAGTTTTAATGTTGTGAGTGCATTAGCAGGGCCTGTGTTGTGTTTGTCTTTTTTTTTTATATAGCAGGAGATAAAGAAAATCCACAGTAAGCATCATAAAGAACAGTGTGGATGCCATAAACTTTTGATTGCAATGGTCACATTGGATGCCTGTGTACAAACATTATGTCATCATGATGTGATATGTAGGAATTAATATTATTATTATTTTTGCAATTTTTAAACTGGAAATATTTGGGTTTTTGGACGTGTTCGGTGGAGTTGTGAGATTTAAAATGATGCACATTAATTAATAGAGAATGAAAGCAGCCCTGATTTGAAAAAAAAAACCCCAAAACAGCAATAATCTAATTCTCGAGGCTCCAGTCTTTGCAGAAAATATCGCAGGAATATTACAGGGATTATTCATGGCTGGATGTGTGTGTGCATGTGACTGAGTGGGTAGGTGTGATTGTAAAAGACAGAGGCCCTGCTTATCCAACACACTCACATGCACACTCACTTCTCTCCCTTTCTGGCCCGCTGGATTT